TTTTTGAGTTGGAGTCTCACTCTGTCGCCCAGACTGGAGTGCAGTGGCTGCTCCCGGCCACCGCAGCCTCGACCTGCTGGGGATCCGGTGATCCTTCCGCCTCAGCTTCTGAGTAGCCAGAATTACAGGCACGCGCTACCACGCCCAGCTGATTTTTTGATTTATTTTAGAGAAGAGGTCTCGCCAAGTTGCCCAGGCGTCTTGAACCCGTGGGCTCAGGCAATCTACCCACCTCAGCCTCCCAAAGGTGCGGGATTACAGGCTGAGCCACGGAGCCTGACTCTGCTGAGTTTCTTTAATCTCAGTGCCTATATATATTGTGTACCCTTTGCCTGAAAAGCTCTTTTCTTTGCTTTGCTAGGCTCTACTCATCTTTTGATGAACTTCTAACCCTTACCTTGGTTAGGTTCAACCTCCTCCTCTTGTGCTGACCTCTGTCATACATAGGTACTGTTACTCTCTATTCTAATTGTTTGTTGCTTGTTTTTCCTCACTGGGCCATAAGCTTCTTGAAGGCAAGGATTAGTGTATTCATCTATGCATCTGTTTCCTGCAATACCAGGCCCAAAGGAGGTCTCAATACTAGTCTATTTTCATTTGCTGTCTAAGTAGATATTTTGTATTATATGGCAGAGGACATTATATCTTATATGTATTCACGAACATGATGGTTTTACTATATATTGTATATACTTTGTATTAAGACTGATTAACTTAGATTTCTTTCCCCCTTTCTTCATCCCAGGAATCTTTAGTGTTCTCGAAGCACCATAATTTTTTGCATTTTTTTGTTTTTTTGAGTTGAAGTCTCACTCTCACCCAGACTGGAGTGCAGTGGCATGATCCTGGCTTACTGCATTCTTCTGCCTCGGCCTCCCAAGTAGCTGGGACTACAGGTATGCCACCATGCCAGGCTAATTTTTTTTTTTTTTTGGACAAGTGAAGTCTCACTATGTTGTCTAGGTTGATCTCAAACTCCTGGGCTCAAGCAATCCTTCCACCTTGACCTTCCAAAGTGCTGAGATTACAGATGTGAGCCATTGTGCCCAGCTTAATTTTTAGCTTTTTTTATTTTAATTTTTTAATTTGTTTGGAGTCACACTCTGTCACCCAGGCTGGAGTGCAGTGGCACATTCATGGCCACCGCAGCCTCAACCTGCTGGTCTCAGGTGATCCTTCTGCCTCAGCCTTCCAAGTAGCTGGAACCACAGGTGCGTGCCTCCACACCTGGCTAATTTTTTAATTTATTGTGGAGACAAGGTCTTGCCAAGTTGCCCAGGCTGTTCTCAAACCTGTGGGTTCAGGCAAGCCTCTGGTCTCCACCTCCCAAAGTGCTGGGATTATAAGTGTGAGCTGTACCCAAACTGCCCCTAACCCTATCCTTTAACCCATGCCTAGTACATGATGGTGCTAAACATTTGCTAATTGAACTAATGTTGTCTTAATCCTACCTTTTTATACTTTCAGACCCGTAAGAAACAGAAGGAAGATGTGGAAGTTGTAGGAGGCAGTGATGGAGAAGGAGCCATAGGGCTCAGCAGTGACCCTAAGAGCCGGGAACAAATGATTAATGATCGAATTGGTTATAAACCTCAACCCAAGCCCAACAATCGCTCATCTCAATTTGGTAGTTTTGAATTTTAGAGGCGGATTATCTTGCATGCCAGAGCCTTGGAGTGGAATAAAATGATGGCAGAAGTACAAACCAGATTTAGAGAATTGAATGCTTGCAGTCAAGCAGAATGGTTTACCTCCTGCAGACAGAAATATTTCTGCATGAGATTATTGGTGCTTAACTTTCACTCTAAGCTGGAATCTAGACTCTGGTTTGTTTCTGGAAAATATGACTCTATAAAACCAATCTGGTTTTGTTTTTAAAAATAAATATATTTTTGAAAAAATATGAGGCATCCTTAATGAAGTATAATAGCACTGTTAACCACCAGAGTTTACAAGCTAACTGCTATAAGAGGTAACATTATTCTTCCCATCTTTATTGAAAGAACCTAAGCACAGGACTTTCCAGTTGATCTCTGTCACTTTCTTTTCTTTTTTTTTTAAGTCAGAGTCTCATTCTGTTGCCCAGACTGGAGTGCAATGGCACACTCACAGCCACTGCAGCCTCAACCTGCTGGGCTCAGGTGATCCTTCTGCTTCAGCCTTTCAGGTAGCTGGAACTACAGGCGTGCGCCACCACACCCAGCTAATTTTTAAAATTTATTTTAGAGACAAAGTCTTGCCATGTTGCCCAGGCTGGTCTCGAACCCGTAGGCTCAAGCAATCCTCTTGTCTCCACCTCCCAAAATGTTGGGATTACAGGCATGACTCACTGCGCCCAGCCAATGATTCCTGTCACTTTCATTTGTCTCAGTTATTCAAGTATTTTTTGCTACCATGAACCAATCAACAAAGATCCCTGCCATTGTGGAGATTAAATCCTAGTGGTTTTGTGTAAACCTGAACAAGTTGTAGATGTCAGATTGATTTACAGAATGGCTTTGTAAACAGTCTGGGTACAACTTTGGGAGGACAGGCAATGGAAGGAAACAGGAGGAATGCCCCAACAATATTACCACCATTCCAATTTTCCTTCCTTCTTCCACTTGTCTAAGAATTTTTCCCAGCAGGAATCAATCTGAGAGGCAGTTCAGAGGATAATTTTGAACCATGCCCCATTATGTGCACTGTTTAATTCAACTACAGAGAACCATCAGCTGTGGTAGTAAGATCCTCTGGAATCATCAGTTCTAAAGAGACCTCTTAGGATTTTACCTAGCCTTTTTGGGGTAGTTTAAGTCTGAGTAATAAGAGTGTGGGAAAGGCAGAGCAAGAAGGGGATAGTTTCTTTCCTTTCTCCTGACCTTACAAAACCTCTATTCTTCCAGTTTTATCTAGGACCTTCAATTCTGTTACTGTCTTAAACCTTGAGTCAGGCTCCAGATACAAAAATTAAGCTATATTATCTCCAAGCCTACAAAGACCTTATGGAAGGGCAAAAATGCAAAGAACAAGGTTCTGCCTTAGCTTTTGTCACTGTGACTTTCCCAGCATGAATAGGCACAGAAGCATTAAAACACTGTGCCTCCTGAGTATCTTCTGCTTCCTAATAGTGAACACAGAGGGCTCTATGTAAGACACCGTACTGAGTGCTAACATGTACATTATGTAGATTATTTTATTAAATTTTTTTTAGTCAGTCTCACTTGGTTGGAGGCTGGAGTGCAAAGGCTTGATCATGGCTCACCACAGCCTCAACTACTTGGGCTCATATGATCCTTCCACTTCAGCCTCCTGAGGGACTAGGACTCCAGGCAAGGTGCCACCATGCCTGGCTAACTTTCATTTTGATTTTTTGTAGACACGAGGCCTTGCTATGTTTCCCAGGATGGTCTCAAACTCCTGGGCTCAAGCAATCCTCTAGCCTCAGCCTCCTGAAGTGCTGGGATTACAGGCATGAGCCACAGGCCTTCATGCTATCTTTTGACTTTTATGAGAAGGGTATTTTACTCATTTAAAAAAGGAAAAATAATCTAATAAATGTGAATTATGCTATGAAATGGTAGAGCTGAGATTTGGACCCAAGCTGTCTGCTTTTTGAACCCATGCTTCTAAACTTTCTTACTACATGGCTTTCTTAGTCTTCCACGGCTAAGTCTAAGAAAGTAGGGATATCAGAGGTAGAATGAGAGGTTATCATTTTCAAGTCTTAGGAAATTTCCATCCTATTTTATTTGTAGAGAATGAGTATCTAGGTCAGTAGATAAGAGTTCATTGCAGTTGTAAATCTTTTCTGGCATAACTGAAACTATGTGCATTGGATTTTGTATTTCTTATGTCACGGCATTTCTGGATTACCAGAACTCGGGAAGTTGGTCAGATGACTATAAAGAGATACTAACTTTATCCAGAAGAGTGGACCTTTCATTTTCCTGAAAGGTGGGATAACAATAATCAGTAGATTAAAAAAAAAAAAAAAGAACATATTAAAGCTTGGATGACTTTTTTTTTTGAGTCAGAGTCCAATATGTTGCCCAGGCTGGAGTACGGTGATGCATTCATGGCCACCATAACCTCGACCTGCCTGCCTCAGGCAATCCTTCTGCCTCAGCCTTCCAAGTAGCTGGAACTATAGGCTTCCACCACACCCAGCTAATTTTTCTTGGTTTATTGTACAGATGAGGACTCGCCAAGTTGCCCAGGCTGGTCTTGAACCCCTGGGCTCAGGCAATCCTCTTGCCTCCACCTCCCAAAATGCTGGGCTTATATGTGTGAGCCACCAAGCTCAGCTGCTTGGGCGCCTATTTTATGCTGGGTGCCTTACACGTATTGTTCCTAATTAAAATGGGCACTATTATTGTCTTTTTATAAATGAGAAAACTAAGGTTTAGGGATTGCTAGAATAATCTTTCCTAAGGTCACAGTGCTAATAAGTGGTAGGGCCAGAGTTCAAATATTGACTCCAAAGTGCATGCTTATCATATTAGTAAGGAAGAGACCAAGAGTGGTGCTGAGTGGCACAATGCTCACGGGGAGGATGGAGTAGGCAACAGGAAGAGCAAATATCAGCACTCTAGTATCACCAAAGGATAGGCAGGGTCATTGTGCAGCTCAAGGCAATGGACTTGCAGCTCTGAGCCTCTGGCCTGACAACATAAACACAGGGAAGGGATTATAATGTGACAAAAATTAGCTTTTAAATTCAGGAATCCTTGGTATAGTGAAATATTTGTGCCTCCTGAAGACTCTGTCTCCTGTGCAAAAGTTCACGTGGGTCTTTCTGGCATGTACTAGGCTCGTCATTTAAAGTAGAGTGGGAGGAGAGTGAGATAAAAATATAAAGATCATATACCACCTAAAAGACTTCAAAAAAACTGATGGTAATGGTCAGATTCTGTGTGGGCAGAGAAGAGAGTAGCTTCTTGTGATATCACTCTGGGTAGAAAGACATGCATGGAACCACAAAATCAAAATATTTATTTTGTTCTTTATCACATGACACTGTTAAAACATTCCTACTATAGCAATACTGCTCTCCAGGAGCTTACAATCTAAAACAGTCATCATTAATTGTAGACCCAGTGATTAAGGCATTATATCAAATGCAAACTTTGTATCTTTAGATGTATCTTCTGAAAAAGCAGCTGGAGAGGGTAGGATAAAAATTAAATGACAGAAAGTGTGCCCCCTGCCTTTCCTCCCCAGCTCCTTGTAAGGAACCCCTTGTGGCTAAAACCCAAGACAAGTACCCACAGCCTGAGAGGGAATTCCAGACAACCATACCATAGAAGTATTAAAGAAACTTTGATTTTGAATCCCCTATTGGACACAGTGAGGATTGTTTCTGGGTAATGGGGCTGCTGGGTGTTCCTCCCATCACAGACAGGAGACAGCACCTAAGATTCTGTAATTGGGGAGAGTACTAGGTATCTCGTTACCCAGTCTTATAGAAATTCCAGGGAGGAAACTGCTTCTTGAAGCATGCTTAAGGTTTTCTAACAGGTTTATAAATACCAACTTCTAGTTGGTATTTATACAGCATAGCAATGTCCACTGTATCACGAGGGTTATGAAGATTTAACAAACTACACATATGAGATAAAAGACTGAAAGAAAGGAGAAAGAACCAAAGAAATACAGATACAGTCTTCTAATAGATGTAATCAGGGAAGGAAGAAAAGAGAAGTTTAGACCCAAAAGAACAATGAAGTTAGGCATTAAATTCCAAATGAACAGGGATATATAAATGAAAGTCAGTAAGACCATTATATTATCACAATCCAAGAGCTCAACAAAGATGGAATTCAAGCTTGAACTTTTTCTCCTTCACTAGCTTCATCCTTTGGCACCTAGTATAAGAATCTCTGAAGTTCAGGTTTTTCAGAAGGTTATCCTAAATACTTGAAGTCCTATTCCAAACTGATATTTCTCTTTGTGAATTTCGAATTCATAGCACTTTGTCTTAACTGTCCTTGATTTTTTGTGATTTCACCTTACTGATAGGGTCCTGTTCCTAGAAGAGTGTTCTATTAGCAGTTCATGCTGAGGTTTCTAGAGAGCACCAGTCACTACTAAACACTGTCTTTTATTTATTTCTCATGGTTTTTATTACTCCTTGGCTTCTAAGACAACAGGCTATTTATACCTTAATGTTGGAATTTGTACCTGTCATTCACTCTGCTCATGCTAAGTATCATTATTACAGGAGGATGAAATGAGAAAAAAGCATGAAGCTCTAAATGATGGTTCTTGTATTTTCACCTCGATCCAGTAGGCGCATAACCTTCTTGGTTCAAAGCCACATAAGCATACATTCCTTGCTCTCCAATATTTAACTGGCACCCACAGAGAGATTACAAACTTCAAAACCACAACACAGGCCAACAGGGTAGCTATGTTTTATCTCTTCTGCCCTGAGGCACAATTGGGTCTAGCACCAAGGAGGGTGGGATTTACAGACCAGCACAGGAAGAATCACTTTAGAGAGGTAGTTTGAACTGGAAACAAGACTGTAGTATAGACTAACAATGAACAGAATAAAAATCCAATGTGATTCTTCATTGAGAAGAGGTTTTGGCCACTTGTGAGCTAATTAAACTCCAAAGAGTAACAAAAACGTGGAGGATGAGTGTCTGCCTGGTATGAACATTGAAGTTGGGGGCTGAGGAAAATCTGTCCATCAGTAAATCATACCCTAAGTCTCTCCAAAGAGAAGGCTGGGCTTTTACCCTTTTGGCCCATGACTGATGGACTTACACTGCAGATCAAAGGTCTCTCAACATTCAAACTACTTCCAAGAAACCACTGATATTTAAAAATAAGGACTAGTGATCTCATAAAGGCTAGTAAAAATAGTTTGGCTATAGTCCTGTATGCATACATATAGTTGGAGTCAAATAAGTGTGGAATGATTAAGTACTGATCAGCAGCATTTACTACACGAGTTAAGCCCAGACTACTATCTACCAATCAGCAATTCAAATTTCCACGTCCAATACCAGGTAGCCCGCCCCACCAGCTGATACTTCCTTAGTTTAAAGCAGAGATTCTCAAAGTGTAGTCCTCTGGCCATCAGCAGGAGCATCACCTGGAAACTCAGAAATGCCAATTTTGGGCTAGGGAGTTGAGGTACAGAGCAACGAGTGTTTTAACAAGCCTTCCGGGTAATTCTAGTGCATGCTAAAGTTTGAATATTACTGAATTTGAGGCAGACATATGAAAACAATAATGGGAAAAATAATTCAAACTCTTTTGCTTCATTCAGCTGGGACAAACCAATGTACCAAGTCAAAGTAAAACGTCAAAGCTTTTATTTAAAAATATCTATTTCTATTTTCTCAAATTGATTGTCATTTTTTTTGATTGGCAAGTTCATTCTAATCAAAATGTGACATGGTAACACAATTTGATGAGTAGCCATCCAAGAATACACACTCTGCAAGCTCTAGGCCTGTATTTAGTCTCAACCACCCCTCTGCACACAACAAAGATTTCTGATACAACACATCACCCCTGGAGAAAAGCACAATGTATTTCCCACTCATTGAATCCAAACACTGTACCTTATTTTTAGTGTTAACTTTGAACTCTGGGTTTAATTGGGTAAGAGATTTCCTCAGCTGCCATCAATCCCTTTCCATTACTGACCCAGAAAAAAACCACCAAATTCACTTAATCTCTGCTTAAAAAAAGGAAGGTGGATCAAGTCACTGAATAAAAAGCTACCTGGATTAGAGAAGAATATATAATTTGTATCTGAGGTGATGGGGAAGGAAATGACACCTCATAGGTGGCTTCTCCTTAAGAGAAACGGGACTCTTAGCTTATTAGAAAACACAGTTTGGGAGGTTACCACTTTAGCTCAGAGACTAAACTAAACCTCTGTTGAGCAGAGGGTAGGGGTGTGCGTGTGTGTGTGCATGTGTGTGTGTGTACAAGAGCAAGAAGGGATGATTGGAGCAGGAATTATGTCTTCCAAGTCTCAAACTGCTTCCCACCGCAATCAATAAGGCCACACCTTGGAGTTTGACATCAATGACAATGCTCTGTGATGTCCACTACCACTGCCTTCTTCCAGCTGAAGAGGAAGTATCCTGTACCGGCCCCTGCTGCTACAGCAATGCAGAGGTACCCGTTGTAGGTCATGAAGATGAGCATGAGGAAGTAGCTGATGACCACCTGGATGATATGCAGCACTGTCTGCAGGAGATGAGGAAAGCTCAGCATCTGCTGCCTGGAGAGTAAACAGGGACACAACAATCAGTGACTCCTAGGAGCTCTGCAGATCAGGAGAAAAGGGGAATAGCTGCAGCCATAGCTCAGCTGGAGCTGGACTGCCTCATAGTACCCTGGCAACTTGTGGGTACCTGAATATTGTTTACTGGTCCCTGGAAATGAAACAGCATAGGGCTGTCAGGTGTGTAAGCATAGGCCAGATGTGGTTATGTGCCAGGAGAAGTAACCCTTTCCAGGAGGAGTGACGAGGAGTCCCGACTTACTTCCACCTTAGATCCTGAATGGGAAACCCTCAACCCTCCCATACATATTCGCCTGAACATTTTAGGCCTCCCACCCTTGCAAAGTTCACATTCTGCCAAAATGGAAATAGAATTGAGGGTTGGGTAGTATAGCAGAAATTACAGTAGTATTGACTTAACTAGGGATCAGGAGATCTGGCTACTCATCTCCTGTATAACTTTAGGTAGGTCACAACCTTTTTTGGCCTCAATGAGCTAATTAGTACAAAGGGAATAAATAATACTGCTTGCTTGAAAGCAGGATGTTGGTTTATAGGATTTCGTTTTTTTTTTGAGTCGGAGTCTCACTCTTTCACCCAGACTGGAGTGCAGTGGCCGCTCCCGGCCACCGCCGCCTGGACCTGCTGGGCTCCGGTGATGCTTCAGCCTCAGCCTTCCGAGTAGCCGGAATTACAGGCATGCGCTACCATGCCCGGTTGATTTTTTGATTTATTGTAGAGATGAGGTCTCACTGCCCAGGCGGGTCTCGAACCCGCGGGCTCCGGCAATCCACTCACCTCAGCCTCCCAAAGGCGCGGGATTACAGGCTGAGCCACCGAGCCCGGCTTATAGGATTTCTTAAGGTTCATCCTAGTTTTAAGACTTACATTTTTTTTTCCTAATTATAATGTTTCCAACTTTCATTAATGTCTGCAGAAGCTGTCTAAATTAAGTGAAAAGAAAAAACTGTCTTGCACTGTCACATAAATTCAAGGGACAGAAAAAGTATTACATATTCATTTTACATTATAGTTTTTTAAATAAAATTTAAGTTCTTTCTGCCAAAATATACAGAACTAGTAATTTCTTTGGAAAAGTAATTTTCTTTTAAAAAAAAAAAAACTTGATGGTAAGAGAAAGTTCCTTAGCATATCCCAATTTTAGTATAATATGGTTAATTATAACACACTTTAATTACTGAAAATTATTTTGAAGTTATTCAGATTACTTGGATTTCTATAAATATCCTTGGAGAAAATAAAAAACAGATATTTGTGAACAGCTCACTCACTTGACGTGATAATAAATAAAGGATTCCATATTACCCATTCCAGATACAATATTTTAAAAGTTTCACTGTGTGTTTTTTTTTTCTGTAATAAGTTATAAAAGTAATTTAGCTTATCAAGGAAATCCAGAGTTGCATAATAGTATGGTGAATTTTGTCAAGCCACATAAATAAAGTTGTAAGTTGAATGAGCCTACTAACTTTTTTATGAGATTAAAGTGGATAAAATTTACTTGGTAGATTTATTGGTTCAGAAAAATAATCTCCTACCAACAAAACTAAGTATTTCTCCTAGAACAGATTTCAAGGCAACAAACTGTGGCATTTTCCCCACTTTTTGTCATGCTACCAACACTAAACTGAACTACATGCACAAAATCCCAAACCCATGCTCATAAGAAGTGCTTATGATAAAGAGCAGTTTTAATGATTCCATATGGAGACAAAGACTTGAAGAGCATTCTTTCTAAGATCATGCCCCCAGAGAAAACTAAACTTAACCAAGAAATTTCAGTGAAGTAGATTGGGATTTGAAATCGTTGCCAGTCTGGTCGCCCAAGGGGGAACTTGAAAATTCAGACAGGGTAGGTACTTCTGTTTCTTTCTTGAGTCTTCTTGTCACTGATGTGGTTACACTATCCTTTTGCTTTTGTTTATCTCAGTTCATTCCATTATTAAAATGGGGGGAAAAAGGATAAACAATGTGTAAATATTTGATTTGAAAGCTGCTCCACTCTAGGAGGAAACAAATACAGAATTGGTTCCAAAGGCCACCTTAACTCCTGCAAGGCGCTCTTCTTGGCTTGCTCTTAGGAAGTCTAGCCTCCGGACTCCAGGACTCTAAAAACAATATGGTAGTGACAGGCATCATGTCTCATGTGACCACCTCATGAAGAATCAGAGCACATCAGGTCTCTGACCTAAACATACCAGGACATGTTTTGGTCAGGTATAAAATGGAATAATTTCAAAGTTGATTTATCTACAAGTTGAAAAGTCTTAACAGGGAATAGTTTCAGCCCGTCATGTTGACTCAGAGGTCCAGGTTTTCAAAAGCCGCCTCTCCAGACTAATTTCTGTAGTGGTCCATGTAAACAAAACACAGGTGAGAATGGTCCTTCTGGAGCTGCCTTCATCGAACAGCAGGATTACCTGAAAGTGTGGTGTTGGCTAAATGTAACACAGGCAGAGGGTGAGCCTCTGTATTAAACACCCAGTGGTCTAAAGGTAAAAGGTCATCATCGGAGAAGAGCAGATACAAATATTTTAATGTTTCAGCAAGAAAGAAGCTCTGCTGTACATCATCATGTGTAGGAGTAGAGGAATATACATCCTTAACTCCAGAAAACCCGCCACTGACTCGGCAATACTTTTCAATGGCCAGTGTTGCTTCCCAGCCCCACTGCCTGTATTTGGGATTGTGAGTGAATCGCCATAGGTACCAGTAGGTTTCAATTACTTCTGGACGGAGGATATAATACTTTTCAGCCTGCCGGACAGCCACAGCCTCCACTGCACCATCAAACTTGAATGATTCAGGACCTAGCTTTAATGCAGTTCTGTCATATGACTCATGACATGTGCGTGCAATTTCCGCCCCTAGCTCTAAATAGTGACCAGCTTTATCTGTTCTGGAACCATCTGCTCCTAGTGCAAACATTCCCCCAGTAAAGCAGGCCAAGTGTTCCATCTTCTTTTCCAAGTGCCCATTCTTCCATTCTCCAATAAAGACAAGACCTCCATGGGATTTCTTAATAAGATGTTTTTCTATAGCCTCGATGGCATCATCGTACATCTTCCTTGCCTCATAGTCTGTTTTGTCTGACATCAACCATGCTTTCAGCAAGTACTCATAAAAACTGTCTCCCAGACTACCAACGGATATATGATACTGACCCCAGCGCCCTGTTCTTGGGTTCAAATAATTTGGATAAAGGCCATTTGGACGATCCATTTTCTGAAGTAGTTTCCGAATGTGCATGACCTTCTTGTAGTAAACCAGGTCTCCCGTCAAGTAGCTGAGGTGGACGAACTCCATGTGCAGAGTCCCAAATTCAGCCAGAATGCTGCTGCCTGCAGAGGCCCAGCTCCAGTTCCATCCTATTCCACTTTTCAAATTCACCATTGCCCAAGGAATCCCAGTAGGTGTGTTGAAGGCGGGAAGGAGTTTCTGAGCCAACTGCACTGCTTTAACCTTGAATATCTCTTCTCCTGAAAGGTAATATGCAGCAAGCAGGCCTCCAATAAATCGAATGTTGACTTCAAACACGGACACCTCTGAATTCACACTGAAATCAAGGTTTTCTTCAACCCATTTTTGTGCATCTAGGAATTCATCGTGAAGTCCCATGATGTAAAGGGTATCCAAAGCATCTACTATGGTAGCACCCAACTGTGAACTTCCAAATATTTTAGTGGAGTATCCTTCCCTTGCAATAGGCCTGAGTTCATTATGTCCCCACCCATATGTCCTATAATTATCCCAGGCATGTTTCATCATCTCTTTAATTTTTTCCCTTTTCTTTCTTATGTCATCATCTTCTGGGTCTCCACCATTTATTCCTACAAGGTTTGGAATAGGGACTGTTGGGAGTGGCTTGTTCTCTTTTATCTTCATTTCTTGGACCACCTTATTTTTCTCTGTCTGAATTTCTGTTTGAATCTCCTCTTTTGTCTTTTTTAATTTTTCTTTTGCTTCTTCCAGGGCTTTCTCATGATCAGCTCGAATTTTATTTCTCAGATGTTCTTCTTCTTCCCTGTGTCTGTGCTCATCGGGCCCGTGGATCAGGAAGACCCCCGGGTTTTTGGCCCCTTTACCGGCATCGATGTGCGGAATCAACACATCTTCCAAGCCCAGATCAAAGTGTTTGCGTTTCGAAGAGTCTGGAAGGAAGAATGCTCCAAAACACAGGGTGATGAAGGCACTGAGGATGAGGAGCAGGATGAACTTCTCCGAGAGTCTCAAGGTAGCCCTGTGGTGTGGGAAGGAGGGGGGCCCCAGGCTCGGAGGCGGGATCCGCCGTCCAGAGAGGGGCAGCAGGGTCGTCATCGTTCACGCTCTTCCACGGCAGGCGTCATCAAGTCCCCGTCTTGCTTCTGGCCTGCCACACGTGGATCCGTCCCAGCACCGGGCCCCACCAGAAAGGGGGGCTGGGGAGGACTCAGGCTCGCTCCCCTGAAAGCGCTGCTGTGCCTGCTAAGACGGCGCCCCTCTCACGCTCGTCCCAGCTCACCCAGCATCCTGGGCGGACCCAACGGTCACAAGGGCACGCCCAGCGGGACCTTCTTCACCATCGGCCTTCCAGAACTTCGCGGCGGGTTCGACTCTCCGCTCCGCTCCGCTCCTATGGGCCGATCGGGCCGGCCACACCGCGGGGAAGCCGCGAGGGGGGTCCCTCCATGCTGGCACCTCTGCGTGGCGCTGACGTGGGCTTCCGCACCCAAAGGCGGCCGGGCGGGATTCAAGACTTACATTTTTATTAAAATGGAATGTCAAAAGACATTTGATAATCTATGGGAAAAACCAATAATCATCCAAATACTTTCTTAGAGCACAAAAATCAGGACAGTCGTATTACCAAACTGAGGATAGAGTTGGCTAGGTACAACTTTTTTTTTTTGAGTCGAAGTCTCAGTCTGTTGCACGGGCTGGATGGAGTGCAATGGCACACTCACAGCCACCACAGTCTTGAATTGCTGAGCTCAGGCAATCCTTCCACCTCAGCCTTCCCAGTAGCTGGAACTATAAGCACGTGTTACCACGCCTGACTTATTTATTTATTTGTTTGTTTGCTTATTTATTTATTTTAGAGACGAGGTCTCACCAAGTTGCCCAGGTTGGTCTTGAACCCCTGAGCTCAGGCAATCCTCTCGCCTTGACCTCCCAAAAGTGCTGGGATTACAGGCTTGAGCCGTTGCACCCGGTGGTATAACTTTTTATAGAAAGAAATCAATAGCATTTTGCTATTCTTTTATACCTTGACCTGAATTTATTTTCTTCAAGAATCTAATTTTTGAGTCGGAGTCTCACTCTGCTGCCAGGCTGGGGTGCAGCAGCACGCTCATGACCACCACATCCTTGACCTGCCAGGCTCAGGCTATCCTTCTGCCTCAGCCTTCCAAGTAGCTGGAACTACAGGTACACACTACTATGCCCAGCTAATTTTTTGATTTGGTGTAGTGATGAGGTCTCGCCAAGTTGCCTAGGCTGGGTCTTGAACCCATGGGCTCAGGCAATCCTTTTGCTTCTGCCTCCCAAAGTGCTGAGATTACAGGAGTGAGCCACCGCACCCGGTTCTTCTTTTTTTTGAGTGAGTGTCTCACTTTGTTGCCCAGGCTGGAGTGCAGTGGTCTGATCATGGCTCACTGCAGCCTTGACTTCCTGGGCTCAGGTGATCCTTTGGCCTCAGCCTCCTGAGTTGCTGAGACTACAGGTGTGTGCCGCCATGTCCAACTAATTTTTTTGTAGAGACGAGGTTTCATTATGTTGCCTAGGCTCCTCTCAACTTCCTAGGCTCAAGCGATCCTCCTACCTTGGTCTCCAGAGTGTTGGGATTACAGGTGTGAGCCACCATGCCCAGCCTCGACCTGAATTTCTTACCTTGTTCATTATTATTTTGGCAAATATTTTTCCCAAGTGACCAATTCTTACAACTCAGAACAAACATTCATGTTTGCAGAAGAGATTCTATCATTGCTCGTTTGGTCTGACATGACCCACAACTCCAAGCCTTCAATGAGTTTTGATTAAGGTCAAAAGGAATCATTAACTCAAGAAAAGGGCTGCTGCTAATAAAATAGGTGCTTTGCTGCTTAACAAACCCAGCTCTCTAGAAACTCATCTAGATCTGTTCAATGTTCTTACCCAACGGTTTTGTGTGTCTCCATGAGGATGGTTCCATTTGGTCCTGGGACAGGCATGGAATTGTAGCGAATGCTGACTTGTGACTTACGCAGCAGGCTCTCTCGGGCTATCTTGAGTCCTTCATAGAACATTGCTAGTAAAAACACTGCAACAAAAGCTCCAGCCATTTCTAAGTATGAAAGGAAAATACGGTGGTACTGTCAAACATGTGCAAAATCATTAGCCAGTGTGCTGTCCAGCTAGAAAGACACAAAGAAAAAATGCTACTCTCAGTTTCTGAAAACATTACATTGTTACCTCTTCACTTGTCCAGATAGGAGAACAGCTAAGACGGTGTTAGTGAAAACCATTGCCTCTGCCAAGAGCACATTTACTTTCTGATTAAGATAAGAAAAATTATCTGAACAATAATAACCTTTAGTCTAGCTGCTTGATGTCATGAAATTAGCTTTGTTACACTGAAACACACAATATAGAATGTGGCACAGGGCAATACAATAATTTACACTTTTGTTTTGTTTTTTGAGTTGGAGTCTCACTGTGTTGCGCAGGCTGGAGTATAGTGGTACGCACACGGCCACCCCAGCATTGACCTGATGGGCTCAGGCGATCCTTCTGCCTCAGCCTTCCAAGTAGCTGGAACTACAGGCATGTGCTACCACAAATTTTTTGATTTATTGTAGAGATGAGGTCTCGCCAAGCTGCCCAGGCTGTTCTTGAACCCGTGGGCTCAGGCAATCAATCCCCTTACCTCGGGCTCCCAAAGTGCTAGGATTACAGGCTTGAGCCACTGCGCCCGGCCAACTTAAGTTTTAATAAGTGTTGACTACCTTTCTTGAATAGGCATTCACTTCTAAGTCTTTTATACTGTGAAGTGTTGGCAATGACATCAATGTATTTGAACTGCTAATTTAACAAACTACCTTAACTAAGTGCTCTCCATTATCCCAAAACAAATTGATTTTGTGGATCCAAAGATAAACCTGGTATCTAAAGCAGTCCCACTGATTTTGAACTTGGGCAATTTGAATTTAAAATATACCAATACAACATAATAGACACAGAGAGATGGGTGATCAGCTACCCCAAAACTAAGAGTGACTTTAAGATGGGCCACATCAATAGTCAGGAAGGACGTGGACCATAATTTGAAGACTAAAAGAATACTGGTCTAGACAGCTCTAGAACATCTGGCCCTTGTCCTAACTCTGACTAATTCTGCATGCTTGAAGGCAATTCATTTCATTATCTAGGGATTATCTGTAAAATAGAAGGATTGCACTAGCCCAATCATTTTTAACCTAGGGTTATCTTTTTGTTTGTAATTTTTTGAGTTGGAGTCTCACTCTTGTCATCCAGGCTGGAGTGCAGTGGCATGCTCATGGCCACAGCAGTCTCAACCTGCTGGGCTCATGTGACCCTTCCATTTCAGCATTCCAAGTAGCTGGAACTACAGGCATGCACCACCATGCCCAGCTAATTTTTTAAAAAATTTATTGTAGAGACGAGGTTTCACCATGTTGCCCAGGCTGGTCTCAAACCCCTGGGCTCAGGTAATCCTCTTGCCTCTGCCTCCCTATGTGCTGGGATTATAGGCATGAACCACTGTGCCCGGCTTAACCTAGGGTTATTTTGTGGCACTTGAACTTGACTATAAACTTATATCCAGAATCAATAACTTACCAAATAAGGAAACATTCTGGAAAAGAATGAAAGGAAATGGATTGCAAAAGACTTCCATCTGGTATCTAAATTATTTTTCAGAGTTCCAATACATACACACATGCTATTTAAGGGAGGTTTATCAGAGGACCAAAAAACTACTGTGTATCCTACCTGCTAAGTTGGACTTAGGAACCAGGATGGTTATGTATCATGACCATGTTGATTCAGTAATTAGGACAGAAAGAGGTGCTGGGCTTCCAGTTTATCTGTCACTGTTTCTCATGTGACTGTCACCTTCAAACACCATCTGATGGCTTACTCACCTCCAGCTGTATTGATCACCAAACCGGAAAACAACAATTCCACATTCTTAAAGCCAAAGTAGAACGTCATAGGCTGCCAGACAACCAAAACAAGTTAGTTAGAGATGAACGAAAATTCTAAATGAGAATTTCAGGCAAAGAAGCTTAAAAATAGCAGGTTTGGATAATAAGTTAAGAACAGACATTCACTGGCGTGGGAGGCTTCTGCCCTCACTTTAGCATTACTACCATAAGCACCAAGCACAAATACTCTCCTGGGCATCCCCTCACCCTACACAACCAACTTTTGCCTTGTTCTCTTTTCCACACAAAGCACATAAAGACCAGAAATTAATTAGAAAAGAGTCAACTTAAAAAGAAGAGACTAACTACAGAAGATCCCTTGAATCTTGGTTCTGGTGTGACTATAAATAACTTGCCACATGATCTTGGGCAAATCACTAGACTTGCTTGAGTCTGCTTTAGTTTTCCTCATTGGTAAGTTGACTTTTAAAGATAATAGCCTTCTAGTACTAAAATTCCACTATTTTTATTACCCAAGGAAAGGACCTGCATTGCCCCTTCTATGGCAGGCACTCACCATCATCATCGTCATGTTGCTGTCTCCTCCACCATGGGAGTGTGAGGCTGAAGTGGTTGGGTGATGGTGAGAATGATCCATTTTTCCAGGGGAAGTTGAGAGTCAACAGAAGATTCTTTTAAGAAAAAAAAATCATATATAATAACTTAAGGATATAAAAATCTTGTTTCTTGGTAAATATTTTGTCCATATAGAATATATCCAGTAAATGAATGCTCACCTAGCATCTTTATTGAGCATTCTTTTTCATAATCTACAGGTGGAGAGAGAAGTAACTTATGTCAAAAGGGATCACCCTTTGGTGATTGTAGGAGAAAGGATTAGTACCTAGGGCTTCAGACACCAACTCTTCCTCATTCTGCAGAATCCGTTCCTTTAATAGCCATGCCTAATACTGTATGTTCAAATTTAAATATGAGATAAGGAGAAGAAAAGCAGCTTCTCTGGGTTGCAGGAAACAGACAATTTGTAATAATGTACAAATGGATGCCATTAATGATATTTAACTGTTTTAAAGCTTTCTAATCATAAATGTCAGTAGATCAAAAGCAAGTACTGCAGATAATTTACCTAATTGAGATGGCCTGTGTTTAAACAGGATATTTAAATTACATTTTCACAGTCAAGACAACCAGCCTTCAGCCAATTTAAATTTGAAGAAAGGTCTATTGCTGCCCTAGGCAAGCAGTGTGCTCAGACTTTAGATACGATTTCATTCCTACCAGGACATTAGAGTGAAGAACATGAAAAACAAGCATTAATTGGATATCTATATTAAATTAAGTCTAGACTACTGCAAATTCAGCCCTGTATCTTTACTACTGCATCACTACTTTACTGCAAAGTTCAACCTGGAACTTGACCCAAGGAGTAATAGCTCCTGTAGCTGAGCTGGGGTGGGGAAGTTGGAGAGTGTGTGGAAGATGAGGTGTTGGTAGATTTTCTTTATGCGTCCCTCAACTCCAGTTTGTGCAAAAGTGTCTTCAGAAATTCTGAGTTGGGGGCTGGAAGCAGTGGCTCAACGCCTGTAATCTCAGTACTTTGGGAGGCTGAGGTGGGAGGAGCACTTGAGGTCAAGAGTTTGAGACCACCCCGAAAACATAGGGACACTCCATTTCTACAAAAAATAAAGAAAAATTAGTCAGGTGTGATGGTACATGCCTGCAGTCCTAGCTCTTCGGGGGGCTAAGGCAGAAGGAGCACTTGAGCCCAAGAGTTTGAGGCTGCAGTGAACTATTGTTGCACCACTGGATTCCAGTGTAGGTGACAGAGTAAGACCCTGTCTCTAGGGAAAAAAAAAATTCCAAGTATTAATAGGTATTCATGTTCATGAGGCTGAGTTGCTTTTCATTATTCATTAAGTAAATATTTATCAAGTTCCCGTTATACACCAAACTCTGAGCAAAGTGCCAGTAATTTGACAGTGGGTAGTGCAAATAAAGACTGGGCACGGTGGCTCATGCCTGTAATCCCAGCACTTTGGGAGACTGAGACAGAAGGATTGCTTGAGCTCAGGAGTTTGAGACCAGCTTGGGCAGCATAGTGAGACCTATATCTATAAAAAGTCAAAAAATTAGCCGGGTGTGGTAGTGCACACCTGTAGTCCCAGCTACTGGGGAGGCTGAGGTGGAAGGATTACTTGAGCCAAGGAGGTTGAGACTGTGGTGAGCTGTGATCATGCCGTTGCACTCTAGCCTGAGTGACAGAGTGGGATCCTGTCTCAAAAAACCCAAAAACTAGATGTCTGATGGAAAAAGAAACAATAAAGTGAGCAAAAACATTCCATGCTATAAAGGAAATAAACAGGGAAATATGACAGAATTACTAAGATGTAAAGAAGAAATAGACTTTAAATAGGAAAGTTATATATATGTAGGGAACCATGTGTGTCTAACTCAAAACACAAATACTGAGCCATCTATTTTCCCCTCATCAACTCCTCCTCCATAATTCTATGACATCGGGCTTAAGATATCAGTTCTTAAGTAAAGGATAAGGTAAACCATCAGTTAGGTATAATCAAAGTTCCACTTTGAATTTAAATAACTTTCATGCCAGACACTACATTATTTTATAATTATAGAGCTTAACAGTCTGGTATTATTAATACTATAAGGGGACTACATTGGTGGTACAAAGAGATATACAACAGGGTCTGTGTCTACAAGTTTTTAGAGCAAACACTAGAAAATAGAAAACACACACAAAAATAGAGAGCATGCACAAAATGTCAATGATGGGACAAATATAAATGGCCAGTGGTTTTCAAATAAAGAAGTCATCATAGTGGGATGGAGAGATCACTGATATCTGAGTGATCGCAAATTATGATTTTGAACCAAGTAAATGAAATGAAATAACAATGAAAACACTTTTGCCACCCAGGAAGGCTGATAACACATCCTCATAGAGACTGAAGTAGAAGGCACAAATTTTGTTCTCTTCCAGTAAGAGTTTGGAAAATTATTATAGCATGAGAAAACCATAAAGGATCATTTTATTCTATCAACATGGATTCTGGCCAGAAAGAGGCAGTGAGTATTTGCAAGAGTGCTTTCTTGTATAAGAGACTAAGGGAGATAAATAAATGAATGAGGAGCTTCAAGGAGCTCCTTGTTCTTTCTTCAAGGAGCTTCAAGGCTAAAAACCAAAAAAGGAAACTGAACAGTCATAATTTTCATTTTGCAATATAGGATGACATGTATTCACAAACAACTTTTTAAATAGCAAGAATATAGTACCAAAAACTACTTAAGAGTTGTAGCCTTGATTTTTTTTGAAGAACTTTTACGACACTATTAATCATTATCATGCTCAGCTTCTGTAATCATCAGAGAAAAGCAAATCAAAACTACAATAAGATACCACCTTTCCGTGCTTTGGGAGGCTGGGGTGAGTGGATTGCCTGAGCCCGCGGGTTTGAGACCCACCTGGGCAACTTGGCAAGACCTCATCTCTACAATAAATAAAAAAATCAGCCAGGCATGGTAGCGCATGCCTGTAATTCCGGCTACTCGGAAGGCTGAGGCAGAAGGATCGCCGGAGCCCAGTAGGTCGAGACTGCAGTGTCCGGGAGCGGCCACTGCACTCCAGTCTGCGCGACAAAGTGAGACTCCAACTCAAAAAAAAAAAAAAAGATACCACCTAACACGAGTAAGGATGGCTATTATTTAAAAGTAGCTCCCCCCCACTAAAAACAGGTGCTGGTAAGTGCAGAGAAAAGGGAATGCTTCTACACTGTTGGTGGAAATGTAAGCTAGTTTGACCTTGTGGAAAGCAGTGTGGCAATTTCTCAAATAACTAAAAATTGAGTTTCCTTAAGATCCAGCAATCCTTCTTCTGGGATTATACTCAAAGGAACATAAATTGCTCTATCAAAAAGACACCTGCATTCATAATAGCAAAAACATGTAGTCAACCCAGATGCCCATTGAAAGTGGACAGCTGGGTTCGGTGGCTCAGCCTGTAATCCTGCGCCTTTGAGGCTGAGGTGAGTGGATTGCCTGAGCCCACGGGTTTGAGACCCGCCTGGGCAACTTGGCGAGACCTCATCTCTACAATAAATAAAAAAATCAGCCGGCGTGGTAGCACGTGCCTGTAATCCCAGCTACTTGGAAGGGTGAGGCGGAAGGATCGCCGGAGCACAGCAGGTCGAGGCTGCAGTGGCCGGGAGTAGCCACTGCACTCCAGTCTGGGTGACAGAGTGAGACTCCAACTCAAAAAAAAAAAAAGTGGACTGCACAAAGAAAATGTGGTGTATAAACATGATGGAATATTCCACAGCCATAAAGAACAAAATCATGGCCTTTGCAGCAACAGGGATGCAGTTGGAGACCATCAAACTAAGTGAAATATTACAGAAACAAAGAACTGAATATCACATGTCCTTATTCATAAGCAGGCCCTGATCACTGGTCATGTGAGTACAAGGGTAGGATTGGCAGACACTGGACACTGCTAAGGGAGGGAGGGAAGGAGGGATGAAGGAGGGAGGCACGTGGCAACACACTGTGTACCTGGTCCACTACCAGGGAAGAGAGGGCCAGCTAGAAGCCCAAACTTCATCTTCATGTAACGTACTTATGTAGTAAATCCTCACTTGTATCCTACAACTGTGAAATAAAATAAAAAATAAATAGCAAAAACATAGCACCACAAACTACTTAAGAGTAGTACCCTTGATTTTTTATAAACTTTTTAAAATTTTTATTTTTATTTATTTATTTGTTTTGAGTAGAGGTCTCACTCTGTTGTCCAGGTTGGAGTACAGTGGCATGATCATGACAACCATGGCTCATGGCAGCTCTGGCCTCTTGGGCTCAGGTGATCTTTCTGCCTCTGCCTCCCGAGTAGCTGGGACTACAGGCACACACCACCATAACTGGCTAATATATTTTTTTTATTTTGTAGAGATGAGGTCTTGCTATGTTACTCAGGCTAGTCTTGATCTCCTGGGCTCAAATAATCCACCTGCCTTGGCCTCCCAAAGTCTTGGGATTACAGTGAGCTATTGTATCTGGCCTGTTTGATGAACTTTTACAATACTATTATTATCAACAATTTTTGAAGACCCACAGGTTCCCAATTATTCAGGTCCCTCATTACCAATTAGAGAAACCTGTTCAATGACAATACATTATCAAATCTCTTCAGACATATCAGTGACCCAGGACAGCAAATGTTCAAATTTCAAGAAAATCTTTCAAAGTATGCACCTGTTTTGAAGTGCAGGATATATTTAACAGTCAAGTGGAACATCCAATGTAATACTATAAGAAAATGACTGACGGTACTGGGAAACCATGCGGGGGGGGAGATGGGATTAATAGTAGCAAATACCTGTTTGGGGACGGGGAAACACCTCTTATCAACAGGGTCCTGAATGAAACGTAATTGTATACCTAACCCTTAACTGTACCCCACAACATCATAATAAAAAATATTGATTAAAAAAACCCCCCAAAACAAAAAAAAGTCAAGTGCACTAGGAAATAGAACAGAAATAGAATCTACTTGCTTTCATTGTCAGTGGACAATGGATGACTTGTAATGAAATTCTATGCAAGGCTTACCGAATAGTGTATGAATAGGACAGTACAAATCTGGTGGAAATTA